CCCCCCCCCCCTCCCCTAGTGTCTGCCACGGATTAGCCAAGACAGTAAATTCAACCTTTAAGTTTGAGGTTCAGGTTTGTGGTATAAATTTTACACATGGATCCTGATACATTTTATTTCTATTTCTAATATGAATTTTAATACACATGCTCTTGAAAAAATTTCTGCATATTTTTACATGGCCCACCCTTATGATTACAATTAACTTTCTATCCAACTACTCTACTACCCAACTACGCTATTACTCTACTAGTCTACTACTCTGCTACGCAACTACCCAACTACACTACTACGCTACTGCTCTACTATGCAACTACGCTACTAGCCTACTACACAACTACGCTAATACTCTACTACCCAACTACGCTACTACCCAACTACGCTACTACCCAACTACGCTACTACTCTACTACGCTGACTACTATACTACTCTACTGCCCAACTACTCTACTACCCAACTACGCTACTACACAACTACTCTACTACCCAACTACTCTACTACTCAACTACTCTACTACTCAACTACTCCACTACTCAACTACTCTACTACTCAACTACTCTACTACTCAACTACCCTGCTACTCTACTACTCAACTACTCTACTACCCTACTACCCAACTACTCTACTCCTCAACTACTCTACTACCCTACTACTCTACTACTCAACTACTCTACTGCTCAACTACTCAACTACTCTACTACTCTACTACTCAACTACTCAACTACCCTACTACTCGACTACTCAACTACCCTACTACCCTACTACCCTACTACTCTACTACCCTACTACCCTACTACTCTACTACTCTACTGCTCAACTACTCTACTACTCTACTACTCAACTACTCAACTACCCTACTACCCTACTACCCTACTACTCAACTACCCTACTACCCTACTACTCTACTACCCTACTACCCTACTACCCTACTACTCTACTACTCTACTACTCTACTGCTCTACTACCCAACTCACCATTCACTGTCGGGTACATGACAACTTTTCATTTGGTCAAACATATGGGTAAAATTTGGTGAAGTAAAAGAGTGTTCTAACTGTAATTTTTAAACTCAATACTAAATATCTTGACGGCCGAACAAACGTTACTCACGCTAAAACCTATGCGCTAAGGTGTAAAAGTCATAAACTGCTTAATTATTTATTTGCAGACAGAATATTCCGTCTGTAATTGTAAAGTCTATTTAACTGAAACCACTACCCGTAGTACGAGCGTAGTCCGGAAATTTTCGAATATATGCATCATATTTCTTGCCAGGTAAATAAAACATGAAAGCACAGATTGAGTGTTTTATATTTGACACTGTAAAGCAAGGCTGTGAGTGTTTTAAATGGTTTAAACAACCAATCTGATGAGTTCATTGGCGAAGTAATTTAAAAAATAAACGTTGTCTAAGCTGAGATAATCAAAGCTAAAGTTTATGTAAATGAATGGGGTTTCATTTGACTTTTTCCTCATGAATTATCGGGGTGAATAGGTTTTCAGATCGTCGGATTTCACAGAAAAAATTTTTGGATTTCAGATCTGGCGAATATTTTACATGGATTTGCGGATCTTATTAATATCTCGGATTGTGGATTTAGCTTGCAATTTAGTTTGGATCCTGGATTGTGACTTCATAGTAGAGCTTTTAGCGGATTCGAATTTAGACAAAACCATTGTCGGATCGCGGATTTTGCTTCAAATTTGGGTGGACCAGCGGATTTGTATACCCCTATTCACCCCCCCCCCCATTATCAATACTTTTTAAACAAATTTAACATGGCGGAAATTAAAGTTACAGTATGTACAACCTGAACCAAAATTTACTGATGCATTAAAAGGCTGGTAGATATATACTCAGACTGAAATCACCTCCCGAAAAATTATCGTGCTAAAATTTTCAAAA